CCCTCCCCACCGGGACCCCAAGTTGGAGAGGCCGGGTGGGCCCATAAGGCGCGGGCGGGGGGGGGAGGAAACTGGAGGTGCCCAGCCCCCCCATACTGTAGGGGGAGGGGAGGACGCTCCCCCACGCCCCCCCCCTAGGGCGACCCACTCCTGGCTCTGTCCTGCTTCGGCTCCAGTCCACTCACTAAGCGCTGGATGTTCTGCAGCTCGCTGGTGGCCTCCTTGTCGGACCCGGAGGAGGAGAGGGTGGAGGAGCGGCTGTTCAGCTCGGAGCCGGAGGAGGCCTCCAACGTTCCCAAGCCGGGGCTGGGCGCCAAGGCTCCGGCTTTGCCTTCCGCCCCGCCACCCAGGCAAGGCGGCAGGGCGGTGGTGAGCAAGCTGCCGCCGCCGCCGCTGCTGTCCGGCAGAGGCACCGAGAGCGCGTAGGGGCTGTAGCGCAGGCGAGGGCGCGCCGTGTTCAGGAAAGGCGGGTGCCGGTGCATCGGGCTGGAGGCCGCCGTCGAGGCTGCCGCCGCCGCCGCCGCCGCCATGTAAGTGTAGGGGTAGGGGAAGAGACCGCCGAAGGGAGACATAGCCAGGCTCTGCAAAAGAAGAAGAAGAAGAAGGGCGAGACGGTCAGAGGAGCGGTGGAGCCTGGTGGCGGGGGGGGGAGGACACAGAAATCTCCCAACCAGCCCCCTCCCCGCAGGCACAATATAGCCTGGGCCAGCACAGGCAGTGGGGTCAACCAGCCCCTTTCCCCACCCACCATTAAGCCACCCTCGGGAGAAGCTGCCCTCTTGCGCGAAGTCAGCCCTGGTGTGGTTAAAGCTGGTGGAGTAAAGGGGTCGGTCCGGCAGGGGCCAAACCGATGAATCCCAGTCCAGTAAACCATGGTTTGGTTCCGCAAAATAAGCACCAGAGCAGAGCAAAATGTCTTCGGTTAAGGATTCTGGGAGCAGAGGTCCCCAGCATTCATGGTATGCTCATGAATGCTCTTCCACGAGTACCAGGGATGGATAGAAGTAGATAGATAGATAGATAGATAGATAGATAGATAGATAGATAGATAGATAGATAGATAGATAGATAGATAGATAGATAGATAGATAGATAGATAGATAGATAGATAGATGATAGATAGATAGATAGATAGATAGATAGACAGACAGACAGACAGACAGACAGACAGATTGATTAAATAGATAGATTACATAGATAGCTAAATAGATAGGTAGGTAGGTAGGTAGGTAGGTAGATACAGACATATACATATACATACACATATACACATACATGAGTGATTTATTATTAATATTAATAATATAGATATTGATATTAATATATTTGATACTTTATTTTAGTCTTTTAATTTTATCTCAATAAAAGATTGGACATTTGCTATAGTGCAGCTAAATCCAGACTCTCCCACTCTCCCTGGATGGGCTTCCTTTTCTGCAGGCCTGCCACACATTCCCTACATTTCCCCTCCCCCCCCCCCAGGTGCCTCTGGAAGGAGGGCAGCCCTCCAGCTGCTCCCAGACTACAGTTCCCATCAGCCTCCTCCCCCTCCTCCTGGCTGATGAGAGAGAGGTCCCTATGGCAGAGCTTTCGGTACGGGCGGCTGGTGTAAAAATCTCTTTGCCACCTTAAGAAAAATCTGGCTTGCAGGTCTCTCTGCCTCTGCCCACAGGGGACGGGAGTTATTAGGGAGACAAAATGAAAGGCCCAGCCCTGCCAAAAGGTGTCCTGGGATATGCCTGAGATGCTAAAGCGCCTAGTTTGCCAGGCGCTTTCGTCAGCCAAATCCCACTTCATTTTCTGGCTTAACGAGAGAGAGCAGCCACAGTTGGCTGGTTGATTGCAGGCCCAGCCCGAGAGATTAGCAGCCAAGTTTGACTGCCCTCTGATCCCCCATTCAATCATCCATCTCTCTCTCTCTGTCTCAAGCTGGTGAGCTCACTCACTGGCTGAAAGTCCTTCTGGCTTGGCCAACAGTCCATAGCTGTAGCCAGAGGGGTGGTGGTGGAAACAATTGCACCCAGCCCAGAAAACAAGCATAGGCGCGGGAAACATAACAAGCAGGAGTGGGCCTTTCTTTCCTGGCCACCTTCTCCCTCCTGCCGCTAGCCCTTTGACCCAGCTCTGGAAAAACCCCTACTTGAGTTTCAGATCCTGAAGAACAGGAGGCCAAGCTGTGGAAGATAAGGAAATGGAGGATCATCCAGAAAGGCTGATGTTTTCCTAGCCCTAAGAGACGGGAAGGCATACAAGCCAATACTTGATTACAGGGGGGGGGGGCGGCTTAATCCGACTTGTAAATCAACCCGAAGCCTCAAATAAACCCCCACCCTGCGGTTGGGGACGGGCCAAGGATGAGCTGCAGAAAAAAGTGAAGCAAATTTAAACAGGAGTCAAGCCGGGCCAAGGCTGCCTCCTTCCTTAAGTAAACTAAATATTTTTACAGATATATATATATATATTTAATCCCACGTTTATTATGTTCACATCTAATGCTAGCAAGCATCTAATGCTTGCTAGTTGCTCCACTGCCCTGCCACCAGCCTGAGAAACAAGTTGGACAGACGCAAGGAGGGAGGGAGTGCGTGAGTGCGTGGGATTGTTTAGTTTAGGTGGTAAATCCGGCTGGAGAATTTATTTTTTAATTCCTAATTGAATCTCCCTCAACTCTTTCTCCCCCCCTCCCTCTCTCCTTCCCTCCCCCCCTCAACAAAAGGCGAACCTCTGCTTTCCTGAACTGGAAGAGGGGGCAAGTATTTTTAAGAAATCAATGAAGCACACATACTCCACACAGAAGTGGGGCAACAAATTTACTTACCCCCTCCCCTTGCCTACATCACCCTTAAAATTGTGGGCGTTGATTCTGGAGATTGGCCTCACTTTCCCAGAAGACTCGTACTAAGTAGGTGGCCTTTTTTTTTTTTTTTTTTTTTTTGCAAATTGGCTTTTATTTTTATTTCCCAACTGCACTGGCCTTTTTCTGCCTAAAGCAAGCAACAATTAACTGTGGTCTCAATTCCTTTTTTTTAAAACCTCTGACAGACACCCTCTCTAGTGTTGACATGCAGGGTCTGGTCCACCCATCCCACAAAAGCATGGTTGGGTTTCCTTCACCGAAGTTTAGGACTCAAACCACAAAGGGCCGGGTTCACACATCAGTCCAAGCCGGAAGCCCCAGTTGTGTAACCACCACCCATGGCCATGAGAACGGCCAACCCACAGGGGTTCCCACACAAACCAGAGGTTGTTACAAATGAAGCGACTGTGGTCCCTCTGAGGTTGGGGGGGAGAAAGCAAGGAATCCATGGATGCTACGGGTGTCAGGGCAAAGTTCTGATTTGCTGGAGGCCCAAAGAGCCATTGCACACCTGCTTTACGGAGGGGAGAAATCACACATACACACACACACACATGCAAATAAACACCCACCCACCAGTAAACTTACCTGGGAAGCCAGGACGTGCTGTTGAAAATGGAAGGGCAAGGCTGCTGCAGCAGCTGCTGCTGAAACGCCACTTAATCCCTGGGCAGCAGCTGCGGTGGCCATCGCCGCATTGTCTAGTCCGGTAACTCCGGCAGACGCCCCGGAGACTGTGGCCAACAGAGGTCCCATGCCAGCCATGCCTGAGAAAGCCCCGCCCATGGCGAACTGGCTAGGATGGAGGAGGAAGGGGTGCCCGTTGCTCAGCGGGTTGAAGAACTGCTGGCTGGCCAAGGCGTGGGGAAATGTTAGGTTGGACAGGTGGCTCTGGGCCAGGTGCCCAGGGCTGTCAGTCTGAATGGTTAGGGGTGTGAAAGGTTCTTTGTTCAGGACCCTGCATTCCTCCTGGGGCGGGTTCTTGAGTTCTTCTCCACCGCCCAAGTGCCGGGTGCTCGAAGAGATGGTGGCTGGGCTATGCTGGGAATCCGGAGGCACTTTAGCCACGCTCTCCCGGCTGCTGCTACTGCTGCAGGCGGAGTCCGGCGGCGGAAAATGGGGAGCCTTGGAAGGGCTGCTCTTCCCTCCCCCTTCGTGAGGAGGGTCTGCCCCATCTCCTCCTCCCAAAGAGGAGCTGCTGTTGGGGGCGATGTTGGCCGTGGTGGTGGAGATCTTCCCGACTTCGTTGGCTTCCATGGGATCCTCTTTGCTTTCCGAGTCGCTTTCGCCATCGCTGGGACACAGGTCTGAGGAGAAGAGGAAGAGAGATGGTGGGAAAGAAGGGGAAGACCCCCAGAGAGAAAGGCCTCCCAGTTGCCCACCACAAGATGTTCCTCAGAAGAGGTGGCCTCCTTCTCTTGTTCCCCCAACCACCGAGAACAAAACTCCCCAACTCAGTTGAGTAGGTCAGATGGAGTCCCCCATGCTTACAATTCAGTTTTCTCCTTGACTTGGAACTCATCCAGGTTTTTTTTCAACTTCAACTCAGGATTCTGATCTAATTTTTTTTTTAAATTGAAGTTTGATCTACTTGGGCCTTGGCAGGACAACTGCCTAATCCAGAAGGGAAGCCAGAGAAAGAGATTCCAGCCCACTATTTTACTAGGAGGCAGTGATATTTTCTTAAAACAAACAAACAAACAAAGAATCCTGGCTGAGGGTAACCGAAAGAGGAAGAAAACTGGGCTAAACAAATCATAAATATCCTTGAGTCCTTCAAAATTCAGGGTTTCCTGAATCGCAGCTGATCCTGACCTGTTAGCTCATTTAGTTCTGGCTTATGGAATTAACTGTCTTCTTATTTTATTTTATTTTTATAATAAACCGCCCTCTGGGGTACGTGGGGTGAGGCTGAAGGATAGAGAAAGAATAGCATGAATTCTCCAATTTTTAGTTAGCCCAGGTTTTATCCAGCCTCTGGTGTTGCAATAAACAGTGTTTTTTCTTTTCATCCGCAGCAAGAATCATGAACTTGGAATTTGGGGACAGTGTCTGCTGCACTCTCTCTCTCTCTCTCTCTCTCTCTCTCTCTCTCTCTCTCTCTCTCTCTCTCTCTCTCTCTCTCTCTCNCACACACACACACACACACACACACACACACACAAACATTCTCAGACAGACAGAGCCAAAGTTCAAACTTTTTTTTGTTTCTAAAAAAAACAACTGTGTCAAATAAAAAAAAAAAGCATTCCTTCCTAGCAAAATCAGAGCCACTTAAGACAGTCAGGGAGATGGGAAATGCACAGATCTCTGGGAGACCTGCTTTTGAGTTCAGGTAGTCCTCCACTTACGACCCAAAATGTCTGTCGCTAAGCAAGACAGTCATTAAGTGGGTTTTGTCCCGTTTTATGACCTTTCTTGCCCGCTGTTGTTAAATTAGTAATTCTTAGGGGAATCCGGCTGGGTTGACTTTGCTTGTCAGAAAGTCGCAAAAGGGGATCACCGGGGACACTGCAGACCCGTCATAACTGTGAGTCAGTTGCCAAGTGTCTGAATTTTCCAAGGGTTGTAAGTGTGAAAAATGGGCGTAAGTTCCTTTTTTCCCCCGAATGCTGTTGTAACTTAGAACAGTCACTTAATGAACCTTGTAAGCCGAGGATTACCTGGAGACATAAACCTAGGAAACTGGCCACCTTTTAGCTCCCACTCCAAACCAAATATAGATTTGGACTTCCTTGCCCTTGCAGTCAGGTGGGATTTAGAAGGAGGTGGGGAAGGATGTTCAGAGTGATTTTAACCCTTAACTGGGCATTTTGGGAATTCCTAATTCATGGGGAAAACACAGTTTATGTTTCTGGTCCTCTGTTTCAGCCAGTTTGTCTGCACTGAAACCATAAATAAAATATAAAAGAGGGAGACAAAGTGAAATTTTAAAGTCCAGACTCAGTTTTCAAAATCAGAGGGTTTTTTTTTTAATCCTCTGCAGTCAGGAGTTGATTTGCAACCTATTTTTTTAATGAGCCAGATAGCATGAAAACAAATATTCATAAATAGGAGGTTAGGACAGCTCTGAATAGAGTGGAAAATAGAGTGGAAAGCAGCTCACCTTTAAGATTTGAGGTGCCCACAGCAGACACAGCGGGAGAGGTTGACTGAGCGAAACATTTAAAAGCCGTCTGCTCGCTGGAAGATTCATCTGAAGTCTCTTTTTTCTGCCTCTCATCGTAAACTCTCATGGACTGAAGTGTCAGTTGCTTTCTAGGGCGAGAAAGAAAAGGAGAGATTAAAACCCCCTGCTGACTTTTGGTGGGATGGGGTTCCTCAACCATACAGAGCATCCTTGGTTTAGCCAGGTTAAAAACAAAAATTAAATCTTGATTATGGTCCCGAGACCAGCATATTTAGCCAGGCGAGGTCCAACCTGCCATAGTGAACAGCTTCACGCACAATGCAGCTAACCCCATAAAGTGTGGCTTGTTTGAACCACAGCATCTGGAATCGCCAGCTACACTAAGCCAAAAGCAATCAATTCCATTAAAGGTTAGGATGTGGGTCCCAACCAATGTTGTGTTTGAGACTTCCCCTTTTCTCAGTAAATTTCAGTCTTAAGTCAGCCGAACTGTTTCGAGAAATCTTCAAATCAGCCAAACTTGTATTTTCAAATGGGCTAAGGATAAGATTGTCTAGGGTCTTAAGGATACTTATGAGTAAACAACCTTTTTCTCATGACACCATGACAGTAGGATTAGACTCTCAAAGCAAGGTTGGACAATCAGACTTGTAAAATATTTGGGGTTATCCTGGTTTCAACTGATGGAAATTGGAGCCTAAATTATCCAGACGCCTATTTTTGTCTTAAATTGTTGAATTTAAATCTTTTCAGCACTAGGTATGACTTTGCTTGCATGGTACCTTCATCCATGCTGAATTGAACCATTCTTTATCTCATTAACTTTTCTAAAAAGAAAAGAAAAGAAAAGAAAAGAAGAATTTGCAAAACATCCTAAGCCGTAAACTGACTACGCAGACTGAGTTTGGACAGTGTCCCAGACTCAAATGTGGTTGGCCAGTTTGATGTGTCCATGTATCTAAAAAGCTGATTGTTGTTGAACTTAAAACTAGCCAAGTAGAACAAATCCACAATTTAAGCATTGGGGAAAGCATCTTTTAACAGTAACCACATCTAACTACCATTCGTCTGATTAGCCATTTTGTGTAAACATAGCCTGTAAGGTTTCAAATAGTGTCAAATCCACCCAGGATGGTGGATTCAATTAATCAAAACATATGGAAATGAAGCAATTGATGATCCAAATTTATTTGTTTCGGTGGAGGGTGATGCAAATTTTAAAAGAGGCAGGGAAGAAGCGAAATTCCTAAATATTTGACTGTTTCAAATATCCAGGAGATTCTCCGATATATCGCTTCCAGAAAATAACTCTTCTTTAACAGCTTGAATTTAGATGTTGATTCTCTTATGGTCTGCAAAAAACTTGGGTCTTCTTGCTCCTCTTATTCACAACCTCCTTGTCAATATTTCAACCATCCCTACCCCTTCTTGGGACCCAATCTGTAAGGCAGATTGCAACCAAAGTGCAGGATTAAAATAAAATAAATAAAATTTGAAAAGGAGGGAGCAGGGAAGACCTTAGAAAGAGCAGCAGTTAAAGACTTTAAAGACTTTAAAGACTTTTTAAATCTGTTGAAAGTCCTTCAAAATCAGTTTGGCTATCTATTGTGGCCGATTCTCCACCCCTTTTCTGCTGCTGTCTTTGTCATGTCACCAATAGGGACCACTTGTAGTAAACTATATTTTTACCCTTGGCAAAGAGTTTCTCCTTTGAGTAGCACCAAAGAGAACCTTGCGCATTGGCAAACTTAAAAGCTTTTTTTTTTCTTCTTTTAAACTTTACAATCCTGTTTGCGGCCTCCTGTTCACGTGGGTTATTTTGGGGTAGGAACCGGGGAAAAAAAGAAGATTTCTGTTTTTATTTTATTGGGGGGGCAGGTTTTTCCCGGAGGACACTTCCCCCCCCCAAAATAAATGGAAATTGAAACATATTCTTACCTTTTTTCTCGCCTTCCATTCCCTGTGTCTCGGAAGCCTTTGGCAAAAGGATTGTTGTCGATTTTTAACTGGGTGATCTGTTAAAAGGAGGGCAAAGAAAGGAACTGTCACACCGGTCCCTGATGACTTGGGTTCTTAGGAAAGAAAAGACCCCCACTCCATTTGTGTGAAAGGTATATTTTTACTAAAGACCAAGTGGTTACACTACTGTACAGCAAAGCCAGAAGTAAAATTTACACCTGAAAGTTTCCTAGTTAACTTTCCCTTTCCTGTTCCTCCCCTCCCTCTTATTTCTTTATTGTCCAGTTATGTTCAAAGGATTTTGCATTCAAAGGATTTGCTCTGCTAATGGTCCCTGCATTGCTGGTGAGCCGTTTTACTTCTGCCCTGTTGTAAAACAGTAGTAAGAGTCTACAAGGGAACACTGCAAATACCAGGACTTAAACCTTGGGTGCTGACATGGGGTGAGTTTTAAGAGTACAGTATGTTTCTGAGCTCTGCCACACAAAGAGTAACAGGAAAGAGGGGGGGGAATCCATAGAGGACTGGGGAGGGGGGGAAAACCTGATTTATTTAAACCAAACATTGCCCGCCTCTCCTTTTGAAAAATAATAAAAAAAATCAGGACCCCAATTAAAGAAAAAAACAAAACCCTTCTGTCCAGTTCTCTGCAGAAAGAGAAAGGAGAGGCTGGAAGATCTCAGAAGCAGACTGGCATTATTATTATTATATTTTAAATCGCTTGATAGTTCCTGCTGCAAATTTGTGGACTATTCAGGGTGAGGATTAGGGGGTCCCCAGGGGGATGAAGTTCCTGTGGTCATTTCCTTATTCTGTTGCTCAGTCTTTGCTAATTAGGGACTGCTTGGGCTTTGCTAACTCCCCCCCCCACTCCGTGAATGTGTATGTGTGCACGCGCGCGCACACAGACACACAAACACAGACAAGTGCACTGTTAGTCTTCCCTTGGAATGAGTGGAACGCACAGCCCATTAGTCATGTTTTAGTCTCCAGGCTTTACCTGCCTTAATTCAATTGCAAAAGACCGGCTTCCTCTCCTTGCTAAAGTAAAATATTTCCACATAAAGGAGTTTGAAACTAGATTTTTTTAACTGGTGTGTGCCTCTCTCTCTCTCTCTCTCTCTGTGCCTGCGTACTTAAGAATATCTGCTAGGCAAAACTATCTTATGGGCCCTTCCATCTTCTGTTCAAGCACAGCAGGTCCTTCTCCAGCTTTCCCAAACCTTCTACTCCTTGCTTCGATTTTTATGGGGATTGAAGGAAGATTTCATTTCAGAGCTGGCTGGGAATGGTTCCAGCCAGGGAAAATTTGCTGAATAAGTTTGGTGAAGTAAAACAACTCATGGATGCTGAAATCAAAAGGAGGGTGGGGAGAATGGTGGGGAGGACGCCTGGCTGGGCTGATAGGATGATAAGAATAGGGAGGAGGAGGAGGAGGAGAAAAGGAGAAGGAAAAGAAAAAGGGAAAGGAGAAAGAGAAGGAAAAAAGGAGAAGGAGAGGGAGAAAGAGAAGGAGAAGGAGAAAGAGAAGGAGGAGGAAAAGAAGGAAAGATCACCACTGAGTGTCACTTCAGAGCAAAAAAACAAACAAACTATCTCACTATAATCCACCCCTTTCCAGTTTAGCCCACAATCCTAGAAGGACTCCATTTGATGCAAGCTCAATGGGGCGTAATGGAGTTTAGATCTGGCTCAACTCTTATGGGAAATTCAACCATCTTTTTTTTTCTTTCTTTGTGTGAAGAAAGAACATCCAGGACTCTTGCAAACCCCTTTCTCCCCTGGTGGCCCTCCTAAAGTTTCTGGGCCCCGAATTTCTTTGCCATGGAGCAAAGCAAGATGGAGCCCGGCTTGTAGGTTGTGATGGAGCTGGTACTTCTACTCTGCTTTCAAGAAGCTCCTGTCCGCCTTGAAGAGTGACAGGTTGACCAGGATGGACTTCTCAGCATCTGCTTCGATTCATAGATCTTTCAGACTTTTGGCTTGGCCAACGAACGAGCAGGAGAACTGTCTCCTGGAGAGGGGAAGACCTTAGGTACAGCTGTGGACCTTCAGACAGGTGAAGTCCTACTCAATTCCATTCTTCTGCAAAGGAGCTTGACAAGCAATCGTAGACCAAGGTGGGAAGACTAGCCAAGTCACCCACCCACCCATTATCCCACATCCCATCTTTCCAAAGATTGTCCCTAAATATTGTCAGAGGGACTTGGTGAAGTCAGCGTCTTCCCTTACTCCCTTACTGCCCCCTTACTCCCTTACTCCCCCCTCCCCCCCATGTATACACATAACCAAGTCACTAAATTATCCCCCCTCCCCCCCATGTATACACATAACCAAGTCACTAACAAAAAGAAATTCAAAGAGAAAGATTGATGGAAACCCAAAATTTTCTTTTGGGTCCACAGCCCAAGTCCCGTCAAGGAAAGAGTCGAGGCCACCGCTTAGGCTGTCCCCAGTCCAAGGCAGGCACAGGACAGCAAATTCAATTAACACCCCTCCCCATAATAATACCCACTCCTCTTAATGAGCTTGACCAAAGGGCCCCAGCTTCCAGCAGGATATTTAATTTATGGTTTCTTTGAAGTGGTGGGGGGAAATGGGGGGGGAGAAGAGGAACCCAAGCCTAGATTTCAAAACCTGAATTGGAAAGATCTCCCAATTCTTCCTGCTGAATCAAAGCCTTATCTGAGGCTCACGCCAAGGGGCGACCCCCCCCCCCAAACACACACTCCCTTTTCAACCTCAATCCTCCTACCTTATCGTTCTGATAGGCTGTTACGGCAATGAATTCCGTTTCCGGAAAGACATAAGTGCGAAATGTGCTGTAGGGGAGCTTCAGGATATCGTTGGCTCGGACAATGTGGAACCGAGGCTGGTATTTGTGCATAGAGTTTAAGATGGTCTAAGGGAGAGAAAGAAAGAAAAAATAAGAGAAAGAAAGAAGGGTTTAGAGAACAAGACTTAAAACCCGGAGGAGAAACTGCGGGGCGCCCAAGCACAACTGCATTATATTTCAACAGGGACTTCCAACTTTTTCTAATCTAACACCCTGCCTGTGTATATTGCCTGCCTTCAACTCTGCTGCAGCATTTTTGATGCTTTTATGAAGAATTCTACTTCCAGTCCCTCCCCAACCACAATTTGTACAGATCCAGATCCAAGTGGCCTAAAATAAAATTTTGCCTAAAACAAGGGGAAGCTTCCTAACTGTGGAGAGCCAGAGCGGAGATAGGCATGTCTCCATGCATGAATGTGATAGATAGATAGATAGATAGATAGATAGATAGATAGATAGATAGATAGATAGATAGATAGATAGATAGATAGATAGATAGATAGATAGATAGATAGATAGATAGATAGATAGATAGATGATGGACGGACAGACAGAGATATGGATGGTGATAATAGATAGATGATAGATGATAGATAGATGATAGATAGATAAATAGATAGAATGAGAGAGAGATATGATAGCTGATGGATAGCTGATTAGATAGATATTCACTAACGCTGGTCTGTTAATTGATTTTAAAGGGAAAACATTGCATGCCCCCTCATTTTGATATTGACACTATTGCATTTGCAGGAAGGGTGATAGGAGTTGAGTGCTGCCTTTGAAAAAGACAATCTAATGGTGAAATACATTCTTTCTATATCATTTTCAATAGGTTTTCAGGTTTTTTTTTCCTTTCCTTTCCTTTCTCTATTTCCTTTCCTTTCCTCTTCCCCCTTTCCTTTCCTTTTTCCTTTTCCCTTTTTCTTTTCCCCTTTCCTTTCCTTTCCTTTTTTTCCTTTCCTTTTTAGGATAGCTTCACTCTTGAGATTTGCGCCCGTGATTTGATTTTTATTCAGCCGATTTGATTCTCCCTCGCATTGTCCTATGCTCATAATCTTATTCTTCTCTCCCATTCCCGCACCAAACTTTCTTCCTTAAGAAAACCAAACACAATATTACTAACCAGTCACCCTAAGGCCAAAACATAGCGTTGAGCCCCCTCCCCAACTTCTTTTTTAAAACCTGGAGTTTATTACAAAAAAAACAAAACTGAGAATGTACCAACTGACAATCCATTTCAAACGTGAGAAAGATTTTCAGCCGTTTCTAATAAAGTAAACACGTTTGCCCCTTTTCTCTAGCAAGTCTGAATTTCCAGTCTCCCCATTTTGCAAAATAATAATAATAATAATAATAATAATAATAATAATAATAATAATAATAATAATAATAATAATAATAATAATAATAATAATAATAATAATGCTCCAACAAAAGTTACTGGGAACACCAAATTGACAAAGTTCTCGAAAAATGAACAGGTCAAGATCCTGTGGGACTTTCGGATCCCAACAGACAGGCATCTGGCCCACAACATGCCTGACATCACAATTGTGGCAAAAGAGAAAATGTCTGGTTCATCGATATTGCAATAGCAAGGGATACCAAGAGAAACAGCTGGGAAAAATAACGAAATACCCCGAAATATCCCACGATCTGCAAATTGAAGTTGAGCAACTGTGGAGGAAGAAATCAAAGGTTGTACTAATAGTAATAAGAGCCCTTGGAGCAATATCCAGAGGGCTGCCTAGATAAATGGAAATTTTGAACTTATTAGACCTGAATATTTGACTTTGCAAAAAAAACTACTGCCTATATACTCAGACACTCCCTTAACAACTGTCTTAGGACTTGAACTGTTCAGTTTTTACCAGTCCCAGATTGTGAGTCGAATTTAATAATAATAATAATAATAATAATAATAATAATAATAATAATAATAATAATAATAATAATAATAATAATAATAATAATAATAATAATAATAATAATAATAATTTAGCCAAAAATAAAGGTGGATAAAATACATTTAAGGTTGGGTGAGCTTTAGCACACCTACTGGGGTGGTGGGGGAGGACTTTAGCACACCTACTTTAGCACACTGCAATACAAAAAAGATATTGAGATTCTGGAAAGAGTGCAGAGAAGAGCAACAAAAATGATTAGGGGTCTGGAGGCTAAAACATATGAAGAAATAATAATAATAATAATAATAATAATAATAATAATAATAATAATAATAATAATAATAATAATAATAATAATAATAATAATCTCCCTATCATTGGTAAGGACTCGATAAGTAGACGAAACTGCCAAATAAGTAGACAAAAATGCCAAATAAGTAGACGAAAATGCCAAATCCAGTCTATGCAATGATCAATCACAATAATAATAATCTGCACAAACACTGGTGTTATGTCAAAGGGTGAGATGAGGAGTTCAGGGAAAAGTCACAAAGCGAACGAAATGCACTTACAAATCCGTGTTTGTCCGATATGTTATTAGTCAGTTTCAGTTTGTGGAATGTGACCACTTTCGACATCCACTGCTCGCCTGTTGCTGGGCTATCTGGATGGATGTACATTCTTTTTGGCATTTCAGGGTCAGCTTTGCCGGCCACCATCCACCGCGAATTATGGAATTTATATCTACAGTCATCCGCCGCTACAATGTCCATCAATAAAATGTATTTCGCCTTTTTATCCAGACCCGTACACCTCACTTTAAACGGTGGGAACATTCTCCTAGAGATAAACAAGGTGAATATTATGTTATATACATTATTTTATTCTGTTTTCTTTCTTTCTTTCTCTTTCTTTCTCTTTCTTTCTTTCTTTCTTTCTTTCTTTCTTTCTTTCTTTCTTTTCTTTTCTTTCTTTCTCTTCTTTCCTTCCTTCCCTCCCTCCCTCCCTCCTAGAATCATTTGAAAATTCAGCAGTTAAAGTGTGCAAGTACACACGCATTTCATTTCACCATTTCACCATTTCGAGGGGAACCCTGTTCCTTAAAGGCTGAGCATTCAAGAGTTTGACTGCTTTTGGAGATAGGAAAAAATGGGAAATTATTATTTATTATATCAATATTATCAATTTATAATATCGATATTATATCAACAGCAACCAGGGGGAGAATTAATTGATCTCACAACTTGCCCTCGGCTTTGGTAATTTCCAAACTGCAATGCCCCCCCCCTCCCAAAAAAAGTGCATTTTTTTTTGCTGGTTAGAGTTAACACAGGCCCCAAGCCCCTTTTTAGAAATCTCTACATGAAATCTTGTTGAGTTCCTTTTGAGAAACAACATATCCTCCAAAACACACACACACACACACAATTTACTGCAAATCCCTTTGCACTGTTTTTGGAGCCTTTTTCTTTTCACTAATTATTCTTTGATTTCAGACCATTTTGAATGGGTCTTAATAAATCCCAATAACCCACAGAACATCCCCAACTATTATTATATTTCCGTCCTTCGCACCCTTAGAAGGAGATAATTCAGCGTGGCTGTTTTTTTCCTAGTTCAAGTGGCTGTTTTTTTCCTAATTCTTAAGGCATGCAGCATTAAACAGAAAGGACCCCCGTCTTTGTGTAAAGCTTGAAACAGCAATCTCAGTTTAGAAAGTTTTAAAAGAGGAAAGGCAATGATTACAGTAGGAAAAACAGGGATCCTTCCCTCCAACATTTGAATCTGTTCTTCCCATATTTTTCCTCCCCAAATGTGCCAGAACTGAACAGTGAGGCCTAAATGAGCTGGAGCCTATTCCTGCTGATTTAAAAAAAAAAACTGAGATTAAAAAAAGGAACAGCCATCCAGATCCCAGCTAACCTTATTGAAAAACAATCTCTCTTTTTTTTTGGTCTCCCTTCCCCCACTTTCCTGATCCATTTCTTTCTTTTTTTTTTTAAGGAAAGTAGAGGAGTTGAATTTGGAAGCCAGCACCCAAGCAGCGGATGGATTTTCCCCGGGAACTCAAAAAATATTTTATGACCGGAAAAGGGCTGTAGGCAATTTTTTTGGTCTGAGTTCATGAGTTCATCCTTGCTTTTTCCCTCTCGAATTTTTTTTTTCTGGGAAGGAAACAAGCAAATTTCAGCTCTTTTTGGTGGAAGCGGGGGTTCTCTAGTCTAAAGGGATCCGGTTGTAAAGTTTCAAAACTCCCAACGAAGGAAAGAAAAGATCCCGGAGAGAGGGGCCCCGAATGCAGCCAGCTTTCTCTCCTTCCACCAAGCTGGGCGAGATTGCGGGGTACCTGGCTGAGGTTTTGGGGGTCCTTTTAAGCGTGCATTTAGGCTTCGGACAAGGGCAGGGCTCACTTTGTCCTTCGGAAAGCGGCGAGGCCCTTTTTTCCCCCCCACCCCAAAAAAACAGTCGGAGTTCCCTTTGGAAAAATCAGCATTTAGCGAAGGCTGGCTTGGCACCCCGGCCGCCCGCTCTTACCTTCCCGATTTGGTGATCACCATCTCGGTCCCCCGTTTGTGAAACTGCTCCCAAAGCTCCTTGGCTTCCAGGTGGACTTTGGGGTCGTCCTCCACCTCTTCTTCCGGCTCCAGCGTTTTCAAAGGCCGCAAGTGAGCCGCGGCTTGGTGTCCCAAGGTGGAAAAAGGGAGGCCGGAATCCGCCGCCCCGACCAGTTGATCCATGATCGGCTTGGCTAAAGCTCCGGGCAGAGAAAGCGCAGCTGCCCCGTTGGGGGGCAAGGCCAAAGCCGGGAAGAAGTGTGGTTGGTGTCCCAAGACGGCGCTCATGGGGAAGTCCGGCGCCCGGTGAGATAGGAAGGGGTGGTAAGCCATGCTGGTCCCAGGAATCACGGGTTCTCTCATGGGGAAACTCATGCAACACAGTCCGCCGCCTCCGCCGCTGCCGCGTCTTTTCCCTCGTCTTCTTCTTCTTCTTCTTCTTCTTCCTCCTTCTCGCCTGCGAGGGGGCTTCGCAACAGCCGCTCGGAGCCTGCCCCGACTCCCTCCTCCGCTGGGTAGAAGGGGCCGGCCCGGAGGAAGCGCCAGACGACCGAGGGCGAAAGAGGAGAAGGCAGGGCTGGCCGGTCGTGAGAAGCGAGCATAAGCGAGTCAGCGAGGAAGCCAGGCAGCCGGCGCCAAGCTAGAGGCCATGGCCCCTACACGAAGGAGGGAAAGCGCGCCCGGGCGCTCCGGTTGCCAATTGCGCTCTGTTAGTCTGCGCCTCTGTCCGTGCGTCTTTGCGCGTCTGTATTCCTGCCGTGGGTCGGTCTGTCTGTCTATCTGGCTTGACACCAGGGGCCAAAGAGAATAGGATCTGGGTTTTCTCCTTCGGAGAGATTGCAAAGGATCGGAGACGCTCGCTTGCGCCCCCGCCGCCGCCGCTATTTCGGCGAAAGGGGGGGGGCAGAGGGACAGTTTAGCAAAGCCCACGAAGAGAGGGGAGAGCAGGAAGGAGGCGAAGGGATGGTGGGGTGGACCGGCCGGAGAAGCTTCGGGACCAGTGCCTTCTGCCGCAGAGGTCGCGCGAGGTCTGGGGCTGCAGGTTTCTTCCCCCTCCCCTCTTCTCTCCTCCCCTTCCTTCCCTCCTTCCTTCCTTTCTCTCGCCGGGCAGGGCTCTCCTTCTCCCGCTTCTCAGCTCTTCTTCAATTCCTTGCCATTATTTTTCCAGCTGCCGGCGCGGAGAAGTGGAGGAGCAGCAACAGCGGCAGCATCCGTCGGCGGAGCTTCTCCTCGGCCGCCCGAGCGAGGCGGAGGAAGCAGAAGAAGAGGCGGCGAGGCGGAAAAACTCCGGGACCCTCCAAAGGTGCCAGCCCAAGGCAAGGCAAGGCGCCTCCTTCTCCTCCTCCTCCTCCTCTTCCTCCTCCAGCCTCGCGCAGCGCTCTCTCGCCGCCTTCGCTTCTCCTCGTCCCCGGCGCTCTTCCTCCTCCTCCTCCTTCCAAGCCGGCTGGCTCGCCTCTTCTTCTGGCCACCCCACCACCTCCGCGTCGCCTTCTAGCCTTGGCCTCCCCTGGTAACGCGTGCGCGTGTGCGTGAGAAAGAGCCACCTCTCCCCCTCTCCCCGAGGTTCCCCGGCGAGGAAAGAGCTGGGGAGGCAGGGCAAGCCCTGCGAGTCAACTTGACGGCTCTGCGAGCTGCGCAATCGAGGAAGCCGGAACGGGTTTTGCGAAGTCGGGCGCTTCCCTCCCCCGCCTCTTTCCCTTCCTCGGCTTCTGCCCAGCAGCCAGGCAGCCAGGCAGAGTTGGCCTCCCCGAGTCCCGCGTCTGGAGGGAGGCGAGGAAGGTGTGTGTGTGTGCGCGCGCGCTCGCGAGTCTGGATGGATGCGGGGTGGGAGGGAGGGAGGGGAGAGCGAGCACGCGCGCGCGCGCTCTGCCGGTGGTGACTGAGTGCTTGCGTGTATGTGTGAGCGGGTGAGTGAGTGAGCGAGGGTGCGCCGGTGTGTGGCTGGGCGGGCGTGCGCGCGAGTGTGAGTCTCTCTCGCCCTCTAAGGCCGGCCGCTTGGCTGCGCCGGGGTTGTATGGTGGCCTTCGCGGGGCCGCCGAGCTTCGGCGGGCGCCTTGATTGGCCCTTTGACGCTTTCGGACCAATTGGCTGGCTCCAGAGGCGTGGTCCCGACAGGTCGTGTGGAGGGGGACGGGGCCCCGAGTTATAAAAAGAAAGGTGTCGGAAACGGCGAAGCTGCAGCGCCACAGCATCTCCGCTGGTCGGGGCCGGGCGGATCTGTCACCAGGACCGGAGGGGGGCGGCGGGGGGGGGGGNGGGGGGGAAAGGAGGAGGCAGACAGGCAAGAGTGTGTTTGGGGGGGGGAGAACCAGGAAGGGAGGGAGGGACGCCTCTAGGGGGATTTGCAGAGACGGCTTGGCTAGCAACTCAGCCAGCTCCAACGAGCCAGGAAACGAAAGGGGAGGGGGAGGAGGGAGGGGAGGGCGAGGGAGGAGGGAGGAGGAGGAAGAAGAAGGCGGGGGGGGGGGTGAAGAGACGCCCCTCCCTTTCTCTTTCTTCGCCCTTCCCCTGGCCCAGATTTCAGCTCGGGACTCCTCCGCGACTTCCCCCGGCGAGCCTTCTCCACGCCTCTTTCTTTGGCTAGTGGGAGTGGGAGTGGGAGGAGGAGGAGGAGGAGGAGGGGAGAGTGAAGGCACGTGTGTTTCGGCGAGGTTTGTAAAAGGTGAAAGGGCGCGCGGGGGCGGGGCCAGCCGCTCCTGCCTTCTCCAGCACACGCGCGTGCCTGCCCAGAATTACCCCGTGGGCAGCGCTTCCCTTCGGGCTCGGCTTCCACGCGCGCCTGTGCCTACGTCGCTCTCCCCTCCGACGAGGGCGGTCTATTGTCGGAGCGTCTGTGTTGGGTTTCAAGCAGCCCTGTTCCGTCTCTCTCCCCCCCCACCCCACCCCCAGTTGCACAAACACCCGCGCCGCGCTCTTCCCCCCCCCCCCCGATTCAGTGAGAATGCCGCCGCAGGAACGCCTGCACCCCGCGCGCGTTCCTCTCTTGAACCCTTCCTTGTGAGTATGTTTTTGGGGTGGGTGGGTGGAAGTGGGATAAGGGCTTCTATCTCCCTGCGAGTTGCATTCGCTCTTGGAAGCCAATGAGCGGCCTTCCTCCTTCCTGGTGCCCTGCCCTCCCGGACTACGCCACCCATCCTTTCCAGCCAGCCCTTCAGGGGTGATGGGCGTTGTGATCCGAAGCAGCAGGAACTAGGACCGGTTGTTATTCCGGGGAGAGGAGAAGTAGGCGTTCTGGAGAAGGGGGAGGATGGGAGTTGTAGTACAGATGGCCTGGAGGGCGTTCTGGAGAGAAGAGTGGAGAATGGGAATTGCGCGTGTGTGGGGGGAGGGCGTGGGTGCTTAAACGCCTTAAAACCAATGCAATGCTTACAATAGCGCACCTGCGTTTGTTACCTGCGCGCGTAAGAGGTTCCGTAATATCCACGGATTCGGGGCTCCGCAGTTGGCGAGCTCTTCCGACAAGCCAAAAGGGTCCTGGCGCGTTTTTAGGAAGGGGGGGGGGAGGAATCAGACGGGGCTTCTGCCTGGTTTTCGGCTCACCTCTCCCCGACCTCCACCCCCACCCCTTCCCCCTCTTCCCTTCCGCTCACGCCAGTCTGGTTTCAGCCCTCCTAGCGCCTACCTAGCCCCCCCCCCCGGTACTTTCCCCACCCTGTTGGACCCCCTACAACGCGGGACCCCTGCCGGGTGAAACGCGTCTGAATGATTTTTGCTTTTCTCTACCAAGTTCGCTTCTCCTTCCCCCCCCCCCCCCCCAAGGCCTGGCGCCTCCTTCCTTTGCTCTGCCCGCGTTTTAACGCTGTGGAAACGCCTCTCTCCCACTCCGGCCGCCCTCCCTGCTTTTCCACCGCTGGTTAGGGAGGATTTTGGAGACCGGAGTGTGAATTGCCCTCTCTGAAGGCCCGGTGGCTTGTAGTCACTTACGGAGGAGGAGGAGGAGGAGGAAGAGGGACGGCCTGTCTGGGGGAGGAAGGAAGCGGGAGGAGGGTTTGCGCGCGCGCCTGTGGCTCTCTGTCTCTCCGCCCCCCCCCCCCCCTTTGGCTTGGTATGCAGCGTGCCGGCGCAGAGCGGGTTACAGCTCTCTTCCAAATCCTCTCCGTTGTGGGCGCGGGGCTGCATGGCTGACCCCTAGCTTTTGGGGATCTGGGCGTGTGGGGAGAGAGGCCGAGGAGTCCACGGAAAGCACGAAGCCGTAGTTTCTGTTCTCCGGAGTGCCCTGATTTCCCGCGGGTGGGGAGGTCTGTGGGAGAACCGAAGCTGACGCGCGAAAACCGTGAACCGGCCTCGCCTCCTTTGTCGCGTTCTCTGCGGGACCCCGCCAGCAAAGAAGCTGCGCCGCGCAAACCTTTTCGGGGGGCTGCGCCTCGCGTCAGCTGGGCACTTTGGGATCCTGCGCTCCAGCGGGATCTTTTTTTGGGGTGGGGTGGGGGTGGGGGATGATGGCGGTGCACTCTTTAGAATAAGGGAGCTACGCCCGCACACAACGACAGGCCACTCAGAGAAACAAACAAGCAAACACAAATAAATGTATGGAGACATAGGTTTAAATGAGAGAGACACACACACACACACACACACACACACACAGTCTCTTCGCTCTCCGCGCCTAACCAGACCCACGAAAGGCCTGCCGGCTTCAAAGGGCAGGCCAAGTTTGTTTCGTAATAATCTTGGTTAGGGGTGGAAGGGGAGGGGGAATGTTGGTCTACATCTGAAGCCTGGGAATCGTGCCCACTGGGTTAGTGGGAAGGTTCCACAGACAGTTGCGCGCAACACACACAGGCAAAAGCGTTAATTCGGCCACACCAAGATGCTGCCTTGAACCCAGCCGCGGTTTGATCTTTTACAGAGATACGGAAAAGACGGTTGGTGCGTTTCGAGGTGAGGGGAGACGGTGTGTGTGTGTGTGTGTGTGTGTGTGTGTGTGTGAAGACAGAGATCGGAGAAAGGGATGGCAGAACCCCTTTCACAATTGGAGGCTGGCCTCCTGAAATAGGCGCAGATCTTCTAATTTATTTTGCTAGGCCTTTTTTAATTGTCTTGCTAGGCGCAAGAAAGGGCCAGGTTGGCCTCGCTGCCTTTTAGGAAGTTCTCCAAATAGCGCCCACGAGGAAACCCAGACGCTCCGAGACGCAAACGCGTCCGGAGAAGTGCCGTTGTGAGGTTGTGGGTTGTAAAGAAGAGGGCGACTGGTTTTCACGCGGGCATGCGCTCCCATCGGCCGCATTTACAGGGCCGACCAAGCCGTAAATTATTCTTGAGAATTGGCGACGAGGCTTGACTTGAGGGCAAAACGAAAGGATGGCGAACCGGGTGGCGTTATCTCTCTCTCTCTCCCTCTCCCCCTCTCTCCTTCTCACCCCCCCCCCCGCCCT